AGGTCGGTGAGTGACATTCGGAGTTCATTGTTGCCCCTATTGAGGAAGGCGAGCCGATGCGTTTGAAGAGGATGAGGAGTTCTTGGGTATGATATGGGTTGCATGCAAATGTGTGAGAATTTACTAAGGTAGGTATTTTCTCGCAAGTGGTTTGATAGGCTCGATGAGTCCATAAAGGATGAGAGCTTGATTGAGATGAGTGATGATATGTTTGTTTGGTGAGGGGCCTTCTGGTCGCCAAGTGTAGGTTGATTTCCTGAGTAGATATGGGCGAGCGATGTTGTTTCCTGGGTGAATTCCTCTGATAGTCATAAGAAAGCCCCTTGAAGTATTTGTTTGTGAGAGGGGATGTTCTTGTCATGACTTTGTTATTATTTAAGAAGACACCTAAGAAAGCAATGGAGAGTGTACATATATAATACTTTTATTTTGTTTTTTTATGATTTATTTTTAAATAAAGTATTTATTATATTTTATTTTCATTTTATATTAAAATGATATAATATAGTTAATGGTAAGAGAAGTAGGTATCTTATAAGAAAATGGTTTCCCATCAAATGATAAAGATAATAAGCTAGTTTGATTAGTGGACGCAAGATATATGTATATGATATAAGTCTGTAATTAGATATAATATAATGTAAATCATGAAAAAAGAGCACTATGCATGGCGTCAGTTAATTCATAATAGTAACAATTTTATGATCGAGAATTAGTCGCAAAATAGTAAAATTTATAAGTAGTAGTAGTTGATCGAATATATAAAAAGTAAAATATTATTATATAAAAGCCAATAAATCAGTACATAAGATAAATCAATAAATCTCTATGTATGTTAAATCAATAAAGTAGTCATCATATTAGTAATTGTAATCAATAAAATAATCATATAAAACGGTAGAGCTAAAACATTGATAAATAATTATAAAACTCAGATCAATACAATAAAATCTTATAATGATACACATATATTATCCAGCTAGTTAGTATCAATATCATATCGATATCTTAATCACATGCTCAATATATCATATGCTCAGTATCAATAATCAGTACAGTGATTCAATAATAGTAACAACAATAGTGAACGAGTAGTAATATCATTAATAATATCGATGTCCATATTAGTACAAGTGAATCCAGTGGTTGTAGCAGTAAAACGATGTCGTAACAGAAAATCCGTACAATGACAATAAATAAATAAAAAATCATTAATGGTGTATAGTTATAATGATTATGCAACATGCATTTTAATAATCACACTAAACAGGTAAGGAGTTTTAACTATCACGTTATTTTTCAGTAATCAATAATTAGTAAATCATTTACTCATTAAGTAGAGTCACCACTCTATACCCGTTGGCATAAAGATAACTCCTTAAAATTCCTAATTATTGATTTAAAATTGTTATATCATTGTATTAGAATATACCAAATCATAATATTTAAAAGAATGCTCATCGACTCACTATCCTGTACATGTCAATAAATATTTAACTAATGGTTCAACTTGTTTTTACTCGTCTTTCACACATATTCTAATAAAAGCAACAACGGGCAGCTATTACTCAATCACATTTTCATATTAATCATAGTGGCCAGGTATAAATATTGCAATAGTGGGTGGCCGGGTGGAACTCCGACCACAATTGGTGGCCGGGCATAAGTCCGATGACAATCGATGGCCGGGCGTAATTCCGACAACAGTCGGTGGCCAGGCGGTGGTCGAGGAGGAGCTTGATTGCGAGAGAGATCTTAGATATCTTTTTCTCTCTCCTCTCTTCTTTCTCTTCATTGCTCCCCTGCTTTATCTCTCCTCAATGAAAAATGACGAATTTATTTATAGTTGTTGGGGAGTGACATACCAGTAAATATAGAGGATATCATGAACATGTTTGAAGTGTTTTGAATAGACTACCGATCTCGACTTCTTTGATCATGTATTGTTTATCGAGTATTTGAGTGCCTTAGTGATGTTAGAATTCAACAATCTTGGGCTCGTTAGATTCATATCTTCGCGTCGCTCGATTCGAACATAAGCATGTCACATTTGGAAATCGTTTGGTCATCCAATTTGTGATTTCAAATGAGCTTCGAGTCTTAAATTTGGACCCATTTGGACTCAGATTGGTTCGAATTTGGTGTCGTTAGGTTTATCTTTTTGAGACGTTCAGCTCGACTATAAGTTTGCTGAAATCAGAGTTCGGATGATCCCAAATTTAATTTTAGAAGTTTCCAACTTAATTTGTCCTCAAGATTCATGCATGATCAAGATAAATTTTAGATATATATCAAGATGAATTTTCTAATGTGAAATCAATTTTATTATAAGAAAATCAAATTGTATTTACCTCAAATTTAAGAACTAAAGATATTATCACCATAAATTTCATAAATTTCTAAACAAAATTCATTTTGATAAACAATTCAATTGACATATATATAGAGTAGATCCACTGCATCATTTAGATGAAGCTTTGAAATAAGATTTTTGAATAGTTCCACTGATCACATTTGTTATCCATATTTCTATTAGATTAGCTGTTCTATATTCTATTAAGTTAAGAATATGAAATTTGAGTAAAACTTTTTTCTATAATATTAAGATTTTTGAGAACATGCTGTGAGTTGTTAAATGTCTAAACCAACTAAATTGCGGTTTACCTCTACTTGCAATTTCACAACTTAGTAGGGACGCTAAAGGGTAATTCTTATATTTGTATGATATTTGGGATAATGTTAGTTTATCAACACTTCACTCCTGAGGAGATAAAACCATTTATGATACATTTTAGCATTCTCCTTCGAGGAGATAAAACTAGAGACTAAGGCTTCATTTGGAAAGTTTTTTTTTATTGCTTTTTAAAGCAGTTTTTAAGTTTTAAAATTAAAATTTTTATACTAAAAAACTACTTTAAGAAGTATTAAGAAAGCTATCCCAAACAAAGCCTAAGAAATATAATATAAATCTTGATGTTGCATCATAAGTTGGAATTTGTGTCAATAGTGTGTATCGATCTTATTGAAAATATCAAGTATTGATGTTATTGGTGAAGGTAGATAACAAAATAGGCAAACCATGTCATTAGTGTTCTTGATCTGTATCAGTCTTATAAATGATGATACACACCAAAATTATTGATGATAATATTTGAGAGACTATAGTTAAGTGATGATGGTCAGGAAACGGTCAGGAGGCTGTCAAACAATTATGTTCAAGAGATCATAGTTAGATGGTGATGATCATGAAATAGTGATTAAGTGATGGTGGTTAGGAGCCCGTTAGGCAATGCCATTACAAATATGTTGGTCGGATAATGATGGTGAGACAATGTCAAGTGCTAGTGATGATTATCACCATCAAATATTAGATGATGCTTTAGAATTCTTTGGACTCAAATCTCTCACTAATTTTAAGCCAAGGTTGAAGCTGGATGCTCCCCTTAATGTGAAGAATGGATGTATATTTAAAGTTTTCTAGAAAAATATTTCGATAAATTAAGTTAAAATTTAATAACACTCCATTAGATGGCCCATGTTGATTCTTTTAGTTATATATTATTCTTTAAGCATTTAATTATCTTAATGACCTCAAAATCAAGTGATTTTATGCTTACTAAATTTATTTCATCAAGATGCTTATTTTTCAATTAATGTAATAAAACTTTAAACTATATCAAACGCTTGATTTTTGGGCTCAATTGAAATCAAATTGGATAACTTTTGATATTGATGAGTTCATTTCATATAACATTTTATTTTGATTATAGGTTTGATGAAATATCAATTTGAATGATAGTAAATTTAATTCTAAAATTTTAAACTTAAAGATTGCACCAATTCTCATGTTTGTTCAAATAAATTTTATTATTACATATCATTTTCCCCCTAATTTAGAATATTGAAATTTACGTTGTCCAAAAAATTTAGAGAGCTTTGAAAATACTTGCAATGTGAAATTACAATTTCAAAAAAACCGCAAGGCGTGACCATTCTTTGGACATAAACATGGGCATTCTCAAAGCTATAAACTAAGGTTTTGTTTGGAAAAGCTTTTTTACTGCTATGATATGTTTGCTACAGGAAATTAAAAAAAAGAATATTTATAAAGAATTTTGTAACTCCTGTTCACCCATAAGGTCATGTAAGTACGGGTCTCTAGTAATTTTTTTTTTTAAATTTAAAATATTTTCTATATAAAAATACAAATGTTTTGAAATGTAATAAATGCATTGCATGACCAAAAAAACTACTGGAAATTGAAAAAAAAGAATATTCAAAAATAATTTGTAACTCTTGTTCACCCCTCCAAGCATAAATATCTCCTCATAGAGTCATAGTCATTAAGATGTTATGGCTCTCTAAAGAACAATGCATTATTCACTCTATTAACATATAAGATATAAAATAATTATATATTTATACCGCTTCTGCCTGTTAGTAGTGGTGTCAATTTCGGGTCATGGGTCAAGTTCGGATCGAACTCCAAACTGACCCGACACTATTTGGGTCAACCCGAACCCGGCCCATTTCTCCAAACGGGTTGGTTTTTCGGATCTGAACCCGCCCGCTTCGGAGCCGGGTCAACCCGATCCGACTCGAATGACCCAAGTCAGACAAAAATTGCTAGTTTTCGGGTCCAAAAATGGGTCTAACTCCGCTTTTCGGGTAAAAAACAGGTCAATCTTGGGTTTTCTGATCAAAAAGTGATTTTTGCGTAAAAATGAGTCATTTTTGGGTCAACGTGTCAATCCGAATACGACCCGATTTTTAAAATGGGTCGAATTGTTGAACCTGAACCAGACCCATTTCGGAATTGGGACAACCCGAACCTGAAATTTTCGGGTAGAGTTCGGATCGGGTTTTCAGGTCGGGTCTAATATTGACACTCCTACCTGTTAGCCATGGGAAAGCTTTTAGGCCGGATAATTGGGCCGGGTTCAGACTTGCAGATGGCCCATTACGCCGATCCGGTTAGTCGGTGAAATAGGGAGAGAGGCTGGCAAGTACCACTGTCGAAAGAAAAATCATCGCCGTGAGAGGCAGAGAGAGAGAGAGAGAGAGAGGCGATGGGACGGAAGAAGACGGTGGAGTTCGACGAGGGTCCGCCAGATGACTTCGATCCGAACAATCCTTACGCCGATCCGGTGGCGATGCTGGAATACAGGGAGTACTTGGTGAGGGAGAAGTGGATTCAGATCGAGACCGCCAAGATCATCCGCGAGCGTCTCAAATGGTGCTACCGCATCGAAGGGGTCAATCATCTCCAGAAGTGCCGCCATCTCGTCGAGCAGTACCTTGAAGCCACCCGCGGCGTTGGGTGGGGCAAGGACCACCGCCCACTTGAGCTCCATGGTTCGTTCCTCTCTGCTGTTTTCCATTCTTATCCTAATCGTTACTTTCTCGTGCGTTCTTCTTATCATATTGATCGATTCTGGATCTCTGATTGACTTTTTTAGGCCCGAAGAAGGTTGTTGAATAACTGGACGGGTGAGCAATCTAGGTTAGTCCTATTTCTTTCTTCACATGTTCAGTTTTCTTGTTTTTTTAATGCTAGTTGACTAGCTATATTTGCCCAGTTTATTACAGCATGTGTTTGGGTTCTCTGAGTTTGTGATGATTTGCAGGGTTCTCTTTTGGGGACCTTGATGATAGAATTGAGCTTCAGCTTCCCAAATTTCCGAAAGAAATTTTCTGTTTTTTATCTGATTACTGTAATACGAATTTTCTCAATCGGTTGATCCTAGCTGTTGTCCATGAAAGTTTAGTTTGGTAAAAATATGATCGTAACTTTTTCTCTTAGACATAAATCGGCCGTGTGATATGAGCTAATTAGGTCTAGGGGTTTTTTTTTTAACAATTGATAATTTGAATATTGGAATTTAAACATAGTCTATCATGGTGCAGACTACCAAGTAATACTGCAATTCAATATGCTTGTGTGATTCTAGATTGTTTGTGTAGTCTCATAGATAATTTTAGTTTAGTGTCCAACCGTTACTAGTTTCCTACTATTTAGACATACTCGATGTATGAAGCTCCCTCCAATGCAGGGTAGGTTGATATGCACAACCTTTTAATTGCTTTTGCAGAGAAACTACCTTCATGGCTCAAACTTTGAACCTCCATATTAAATTAAAGGCAACTTAAGCAACACCCCTTTTTGAATTGAATACTCAATGCATGCGACTCCTGCAAATGTAGAGTTTTGAGACCACTTAAGTTTTCATTATAAAGAAAATGAAATTGTTTTCCCTAATGAGGCGAAGCTAGAAATTAGTACCACAGAATCAGAAAAAGGTAAAGATTGATACGTCATAAAAACTTGCATTGATTGGGCACGAATTTTGATGCATATTTGAATTGGAAACTCTCAAGATTAAATTCAGGATCATCCATCCTTCGATTTCAACAAATTTAAAGTCAAAGTGAACGCCTTGATGAGACGAACCCAACAATACCAAAAATGATCCAATTTAAATCCACATGGTTCCATATCAAAGCATAATTGAAAACTTCATGATATTAATTGGATGATTAAACAACTTCAAAATATTGCATGCTTATAATTAAATCGAGCCGTTCGAGCGCCTCTACGACAAAAGTCTAACTAGCCCAATATTGCTTAATTCCGATAACTTTAAGGCATCTAAAATCTTCAACAAATGCTCTATGATTAAGAGAATCAAAGTTGGCAGTCTAATGGAGTTTTTCAAATTTTCTCTATATTTATGTGGCATGCCACTCAAAAAAATCTATAAATAGTCCCCTACTCTCTACATGAATGGGGATTTGGAGCTTGGACTTTAGCTTGAGATTCAAGAGAGAATCCCGGAGCACCACCGCTGGGCCATTGTCTAACCGTTGATCCATCGCTAGATTATGATCCTCCGACCATTGTTGCTCAAATACAGTCTTCCAACAACCGTCACTGACAACATTCCTCAGATTCTCATCACTCGACCATGACCAATCACCTTTGCTTGATTGTGGTCCTTCCGACATCTTCTATCGTCGGATTGCTGTGCTTCGACCTCCATCGCCCAATTACTATCATTCTAGTCATCATTGCCCAACTACAACCCTTGCAATCATCATTTCCTGACTACGGTTCTTAGCCACCATTGATCGCCAACTTCGATCTTCCAATCTTTGTCGCTCAACTACAATCAGCCGACCACCGTTGCCCTGCTATGGTCCTTCGACCACCACCACTCAATTTCGGTTTTTCGACCTCCGTCTCCCAACTAGGACCCAACAACCACTGTCGCCCTACTACGACCCTTCGACCACCGTCGTTTATCTACAGTCCTCCAACCTCCGTTACCCAACTATTTATTGAACTATATAAACATGGGATAAGAAAAATGTATCCATGAATAATGATTTAAAAATATAATGACATAAAATTGAAAGCCCTTCGCCTTTTGTAATTAACTCGTTTCCTTTGTCATCTCTCTAGAGCTTTGTTTGACAACCTTTAAAATGATTACATAAAATGGAATTGCAAGCAATACGAAAACAAAATCATGGGATTAACTTGCATTAAAATAAAATCCTCTATAGATTTTTATACTTTAGAAATCAAATTGCAAGTAGATGAGATAAAAGTATGAAATTAACTTACATTAAAGTCACTATCCATTTCAGATTTTTATTTAGAAATTAGCTTACAAGCAAATGAGATAAAAATATGGAATTACATTAAACCACAATCCGTTTTCAAATTTTTGTTTAAAAATTAGACTACAAGCAAATAAGAGAAAAACATGGAGTTCTCTCACATTTTTCCTTGGACAAATGGGAGAAGAAGAGGCTTATTTTGTTCCTTGCTTGAAGTAGTTTTTGCTTGGCCGAATGGAAGAAAACTACAGTAGCACTCTTCTTATTTTCTTTTGGAGGACGTGAATAACCAATAACCCTTTTTGCTCTCAGTTTCTTGCTTGAAGGAAGAGACGAACAGCAGTAGCTCCTCTTCAAGTTTTTTTTATTCTTCTGGATGAAAAGAACCAATAGATCCTCTTGTTTGGAATGGAAATGATGGACAGTAGCTCTCACGGCTTCAATGGATGAAGACAAGTTGCAGCTTCACCCTTCTCCTTACTCTCTTGGATGGGATGAATAGCAGCAGCCTCTTTCCTCTTGTTTTTGCCAGAAATCTTCAAGAGGGAGCCAAAACTGAGAGAGAGAGAGAGCTGGTTGAAACTTCCTGTAGAGAGAGATTTCCACGAGGGAGAGGAGAGTCTCCTCCAAGAGAATCAAAACCAACCTTTGTCCTATTCAGAACTGAAAAAGAATAAGAGTGCAAATTATAATTCAATCCTCAAGCACTTTTCATCTATGTTGTTGGATTTAAATTGAAAGGTTAAGATGAAAGCTACTGCTGAGAAGGAAAGAGGACAAAGCCCTCTCCATTCATCATTCAGTCGCCCAAGAAAACCCTATGTGAATTAGTCCTGTTAGGTGAGAAGAACAGAAGACAATTTTTCCCTTGGAAACATTTGATCCGATGGAAAAAAAAAAAAAAAAAAAACACTTCATGCTACCCTTGGAGGCTTGATGAAAAAGTGGTATTTTTTGCTTGCATTTTTCAGCCATTGAAGCAAAAGGTGTTTAAGTTAGATGGCAAATCCTAATAGCCATGACGAATAGAAAGTCCATCCTACCCTTAGAGATTTTAAATGGATGGCTAGGATGGTTTGCTTTATTTAATTACTATTTGAGAGCTAAATTTGGATTTTGAATTTGATTTAAATTTGGTTTTAATGAAGTTAAATGGCGTTTTATTATTTATTTATTTTCTTTTATTTGCTTTTTATTTATTTTATATTTTTAATTTTTATATTTTATGTTTTAATTTGGGAAATTTTTATTTATTATACTTATTTAATTTAAGTTTTAAGAAGAGAAAATTCTCCTCATTTTATTAAATTTTTTAAAATACCTTTAAGAATTGTTTGGTTGGCATGAAGGTTAATGATTTTGTAGTCGATAGTATCAAATGACATGAAACAAGAATTATTAACAATTAGTTTGCGAGCTGACAATCTATCATGCGAGTGATGGGAGGCATTGGGAAGATTTGGAAGAACGAACTTAGATTGTGGGGTGGGTGGAATACCTTAACCCATAGTGGTAATGGATAGAGCTTGGTCATTGCCAACAAATACTTGTTGGGAACCTTGGTATGGTTTGAGATTTTGCATTTGAGTTTGATCAGCAACGAGGTGAGAGTTGGCTTGGGTGTTGAGAATCCATTCCTTTTTATGTGGAGTATATCCCACAAACAATGCATGAGGGTTAGTGTAAATGTGTAATTGAGATTAGCTTCATGCTAATATTTGACGGTAGAAAGGCCAATGTTTTCATAGATTTGGCAAGTTATTATAGGATTGAGGTGTTTGCCCACCTCTAGGTTAGGTTGGGATTGTTGGCCTGATTTGAATGAGTCGGAGTTGTAGCATCCCCTAGTAGCGGAGAAGGTGGAGGATTGAGCTTGGCCCTAACATTGTTGTCTCAAGAAAGAGTGGAATTTGAGAGTCTGGGGCTAGCGGAAGGTTAAGGTTTTGAGCCATCTCATTCACTAAGTTTTTTCCCCATTGTAGAGGGAGTAGAAATCATCTAGGCTAATGAGTTGAAGATTTGTTTGGATGGCTATTTTAAATGTTTGGTAGGATGTGGTGAACTGTGTAATGTGTAAAGGATGATATATTTTGGATCGAGCAATGATCCTACAACTGTGATGGTATTGACCTTCACCTTGATTTTTTAGCGGTATTGCACTATGGATTGATCCTTCATTGCTCTGTGATGTTGTTTGTTGTTAAGCTTTATGATGTGGAAATGATTAGGATTGATGATGACAGTCTAAGGTTGTCCATATTTCTGTATTAGATCTAAGTTCAGGCATAAGGGAGTTTGGAGGTGGAAATGGAAGAATATAAGCACCTGCAAGATTTTGATATATGAGAAACTAATGATTACATTGCTGTTTGGGTTGGGTAGAAGTAGAACCATTATCATGTAGAGTTTGGTGAGGAGATTTATAGTGGCACTGTCAAATTATCCTTCAAATCCATTGGTGGATATCAACAATGAGTAGTTTTGAGAATGCTCTTTATGTTGGACATGGGATATTTAAGGGAGGAGAGAAGTGAAGTTTGTGTGGTGTGGGTGCAGTGATGGCGTCATTGATGAGGCGGAGGCCGCGGTAGTGGGGAATACATTAAGAGAATCATGGTTCTTGATTGAGGGAGATGAGTGTGGTGAGGCTATTAGAGTTCTGATTTCATGTAAACTTCATTTGACAGGCAGAAAAGAGTACATGAATATAAGAAGTAATCAAGCAAATAAAGCTTTACAGTATTTCCATGGTAGCTTAATGCATACAAATGCTCGTACTTGCACACTTTGCTAAAGAGAGTTTATTACAATGACATAACGTTTGCTAGGGATGGATGGGAGAGATTGAGCTTGTTATTTCAGATGAGCCATTGATATATATTGATGAGTACTAGTTGGTCCCGTCAATGATGTTATTGAGTTTGATGAATATAGGGTGTTGTTATGACCATAATGACTCACAGGGAGGCTCAAGTTAATAGTGTTATTGTCGCACAAAAAGAGAGCATTGGGGGAGAACTCCCCAAGTCAACTAGTGTAAAATTGTGAAGAATGTTTATCATGGTCATTTAGGATATCAAATGATGTTCGTTTAGGGTATAATTGCATTCAAATTGACAATCAAAGTACATCAACTCATGCATGGGGCATGGAAGTGCTTATAGCAGGGAAATTTGCATCAAGAGAGAGAGAGAGAGAGATTTTTATCCTTCCTTTTGGCTCATGTATTGGGTATAATTGCATTCAAAATTTGAAACTTTGTTTCGAATTCGTATCAGATTGAGGTTGGTTGACTTGAAATTAAATTGATTCAACTCAAGAAAATTTTTAGTTGCAAGTTTTGGGTGTCTCACTCAAACTTGACTCCAAAGCACCGCCACCAATCACATGCTTTATGGAGTAGAGTGGAGATCAGTGTTGAGAGAAAAAGGGATAAGACTTTTGGTTTAGAAAAAGTGAATGAGAGGGGGAGAGACTTAAGGGGGGAGGGAGAGAGAGGTGAGGGAGGAAGGGTTGATATAGGAGAAGAGAGGCAGGATTGCTCGAAAGCAAGAAATAATAAGGTTCCTAGGTAATAATACATTAAATGAGAACTAAAAATAAGAAATGCTAAAAGGAATTAAGGAACAAGTATATCATGACGTTGTTATTATAATAAAACAAGAAATGTACCAAAGCCAATTTTGGTTAAACGTTGGGCAGCGGTGCATATGGATCTTATGATGATTTACAATGTGTAGTTCAGTGACCCACCTATTGTTTTCTTTCAAATTCCAGCATCCAATTAAATGCTGCTATTTTAATAAAAAAATCAGTTGCCAATGTCCGTCCAATGAACTTGATGCCGTAGCCTCAAACTGTTGCAAAATATTTGCTACGATCTCGCAGTCCACTTATAGATGGTATATGCTGGCTGAGAAGAGAGTTCCAGCATCGTATGAGGTAATTGAGCATAGTTAATATTAAAGGAATATGCGGAATATTATTGAAACTTTCAGTGATGTTTAAATCGAGTAGCAATTTTGAAGGAATTAAAGATGATTTGGGGTTGCATGCGAGAGAAATGAAATTTGGCAGTGAAACTTGGGTGATAAATATGTAATATTGAATTATTTAAATGATATGTTGATTCCACTTTTAAGTGCATAGTTCTTTATTGTTTTGGTTCAATCTCAAGAATGACAGGTCTGACGAACCTTGACATTTTTTTTTTGGGAAAAAGAACCTTGACATTATCCACAAAGTTCTTGCAAATTGTGGCAATTTGCTGACTGTAATCTATAGCAAACTTTGTAGACGTGATGGTTGGTGGCTAAGAAGTGAAGTCCAATGAAGGAAGAATTAATGAGGGTGGACTAATTTTAATGCAATTTTTGCAATATCATTAAAACTTTAGGTGGAAATTTTGAATGATCTAGCAAGGATTTTGGTTTTTTGCAAGAAATATGAAATTTGGATCTGAAACTTGGGTATTAAATATGTAATTTCTAAATGTTTGAATATGTATGTCATGTGTCTTGTAAGTAAAAACTACAAACAAAAGAGAAGAAAAGCGTAGGAGCACGAAGATAATGGCTATTTTCTGATTTCTCCTTAAAAAATAATGCAAGATATAATTGATCTACTATTCGAGAGGTAGATCAGCTCTCCCACAAATTCTAGACGTCTTTAGGAAACTTACAAAGAAAACTACAACAGAAAGCAAATTCCCAAATACCAAAATAACATAATCAGCCATAAATATGCTTTCCTGATTCCCTCCCAAATAAGCCCCATTTCCTTAATTAATTCTCTCTCAATTTTGAATTCAAAATTAGAATTCTCTCCTTAAATAATTTCCCCTTGATTACTCCTCCTTAAATAATGAACCATATCTTTTGTGGGCCCCACAAGGGGGGGGGACTGTCTCATGATCATCTCTTATATTTCCCATGTAGCTTTGTGCTCCAATAGGTCCTTCCATTTAACTAATACCTTCAGTGCTCCTGTTTTCCCTCAATGCACCCCTTCTACATCCATAGGCTCCAAAATGACCTCCATGTTTTTTGCTTGAGTTGGGGGTAGTGGAGACGATGTTTGATCTCTTATTGCACGCCTTAACTGTGAAACATGAAATACAAGATGGATATCTGAGGTCGGTGGCAATTGTAGGTGATATGCTACTTCTCCAATGCATTTCACTATCTTGTAGGGTCCAATGTAGTGGGGGGAGAGCTTCTCATTCATTCGTCGGGCTAAATCTTTTGTCTGTAAGGCCATATTTTCAGATAAACCCTGTCCCCAACCTCAAACTGCATGTCCATGTAAGTCCAATGAGTATAGTCTATAGCAAACTTTGTAGACGTGATGGTTGGTGGCTAAGAAGTAAAGTCCAATGAAGGAAGAATTAGTGAGGGTAGACTAATTGTAATGCAATTTTTGCAAAATCTACCTAAAACTTTAGGTGGAAATTTTGAAGGATCTAGTGAGGATTTTGGTTGTTTGCAAGAAATATGAAATTTGGATGTGAAACTCGGGTATTAAATACGTAATTTCTAAAGGTTTGAATATGTATGTCATGTGTCTTGGAAGTAAAAACAATGAACAAAAGAGAAGAAAAAGTCTAGGAACACAAAGATAATGGTTGTTTTCTTATTTCTCCTTAAAAAGTAATGCAATATACAATTGATCTACTATTCGAGAGATAGATCGGTTCTCCCACAAACCCTAGGCGCTGCTAGGAAACTGACAAAGAAAACTAAAGCAGGAAACAAATTCCCATATACCACAATAACAACATAGTTAGCCCTAAATATACTCTCCTAATCCTCTCCCAAATCATACTCTTTTTCTTAATTAATTCCCTCCCAAATCAACCTCATTGTCTTAATTAATTCCCTTTCAGATTTGAATTCAAAATTGGAACTCTTTTCCTAAAAAATTTCCTCTTGGTAGCTATGGTAACCTTGAGGTTACAGTCTAGCAATCTCTTAAGAGGTTGTGGGAGGCTGAGAAGTTAAGTCTGATTAGGTATGAGGTAATGATGGAGGGTTGATTTAATGGAACATTCTTGAAACTTTAGATGGAAGATAAATAGGGTGGCAATTTTGAAGGAGTTTTGGGGATTTGAATTTTATGCAAATAAATATGAAATTTGAGCGTGAAACTTGGGTATTGAGTATTTAGTAATGAAAGATTTGATCAGTTTGCATGCATACCTCTTAAAAGTAAATATTGCTTTATTTATGTCGATCAACCTCAGAGACTTAGCAAACTAAGATTGTCTTGTTTATTGGCTGGAATAGACATAAATGTCCAATGATAATGTTTTAGGGGACCTAATAGCTGATTGTTTGTCGAGCGTATTTGGATTTTACAAAAGTGTAAACGAAATGGCAAGGGCCCACCAGTACTGGAAATAGAAAGACTTGTTCGCTGAAAACGTCACTGGCGACCAACTGACATGAAGGCCCAAAATTAGGTGGTCATTGCTTGCATTTTGCCTTATAAGATGTTTTATAATCGTATTGCCTTTTTCTGAAGTTCAATTTCACTATGAGTGCATTCTTTTTTAATTAATCTTAGAATTGGTTGCATTGTTGAACGATAATTTTACTGCCTGATTGTCAAGCTTCATGCCCTCATCTTGCAATTGGGTTAGATAGAGCATGTGAAAATTAGCGTATTTTTTCCTATTTTATTTTGAAAATGACGAGACCTTAGTCTTTTATCATTTAATAGAATAAAAAACATCAGGAATGTCAATTTGATCCCATTAATGTATTAGGTTAACGTTGCATTGAAAACATTATGGGGAATGCTATCTTTGATTCTCAAGCAGCATCCTATCTTCTTCCAGTTGAATCTAGCAAAACACTTCTTAAAATCAGTGTCGTTTTACTTATTTCAATTGAGTAAACTCTCATTGCTTCTATTTATATGACGACTTGAAAACCCGATCCAGATCCGACCCAAAAATTCCGAGTTCGTGTCTACTCGTTTAACAAATGGGTCGGGTTCGGATTTAATTTTTCGACCCGATTGAAATATCAGGCCTGGTTCGGGCTAACTCACGAACGTGAACCAACCCATTTGACTCGTCCGTCACCCGCTCGCTTGGTCGCATCTCGCATGTCACGCTCATATTCGTTGCACTCACCCGCCACACTCAACTGGGTTAGCGGGGTGGGTCGGGCCAAATCGGTTGGTGTTGGGTTTGAGTCTAAATTTTTAACCTATTTCGACAAACGGCTCCGATTCAAGTTGGACGTGTTAAGAGCTGATTGATTTCGGGTTTGATCGAGCCTGACCTGAAAGCTTGTTTTGACATCCTATTTATATCCTCTTTTTATTGATATAAGGGAACAAGACTGTAACAGTTACTGTTCAATCAGCGATATTTTAGCTTAACCATCGATTTGAAGCGTTTTGTACTTGAAACAACCTTGCCGATGCTGGATATGAAATTTTCAATATGAGGGTAAATCTGAAACGCATGGCATTATTATTAATGAAAAAATGCAGAAGGCAAATTTGAGTTGACTTTTGGTGTATTGTACCCTTTTATCGTTTTTTGCTGCTTAGATTATTTTAATTCTCATTTTCCTCACCTTTTAATTTCTAATGGCGGATTGTGGTGGTCTTTGATAAAATTATGATTTTATAAGTATTTTTCATATATTCTGTTTATATATTTTCTTAAAACCTTCATCAGACATCAAAGGCCCGTCTTGTTTGATATACTCTTAATGAACATCTAGGCTCTGTTTGGTTTGAATAGTTGAAAGGGAGAAAATTATTGTAAATGAAAAGTAAAATGATAAAGGTATTGAATTGAAATTAGTTGGCTAAATCTAATTTCACATTGAAAGTATTTTTTTTTTTCGGTTGAATACAGGTGTATCAGAAGACTCCGAATTGAAACAACGCCGGACCATTTGAGTAGTTTTCTTCCCTTGTGTTTCTTGTGCTCCTTCAATTTGCTGTTGTTTCTTAATAATGGCTGCCATATAACCTGAATGTATTCACTTTGCTACCCTCTGCTTATATCAGCATCTCAAACGTTTATGGTTTGCTTACAGATTTTTCTAGTAATTTCATTTTAACATCGCTATGTAGTTTTAAGCTATTTGACCATGTGAATCAAGTTATCCAACACTGTTGTTATGATCAAAATTTAAAGATTCTGTTTAGTTTTTTATTATTTTTCTTTTTTTAAGAATTAATATAAACTTATATTAAAATAAGAAAATATGTACATAAAAGCTTAAACTTACCATTACAAAACTTGCTATGTATATTCAATTGATAACTCCACTGAAGAAACAAACTAATGATCCCACAAAATGAAACACTTTCATCCATGCTTACACCAATCTTGATCAAATTATCCAAAATTGGCCTATTGTAAAAAACTTCAACACCCAGCACATCTGTACAGCTCATAAAGCCATGAAAAAAGGTCATAAAGCCATCAAAAAAGGCTGTGCAGGTTTGAAGGAATTGAAAGTGAGGAAATGGGAAGGTAATCTCTATTACATTAATGCTTCATTTGAGACAGCTTTTAATCTTTGTTTTTTCACTGCTTAAAAAAAAGGTTGTTTTAGAAAACAATATGCTTATATGAGACAATTTCACACATTAAATTCCCCTAAGAGCTCAGTGTCATACTGAGCGCAACAGAAGTATACCGTGAAGATAACTAGACTTCTAGTTGATCGAAAATCAATCTGTTGATGGTAAGTCTGCAACTCCTACTTGAGTAGTCTGAGGAATTTGGCCGTCGAGAATCTGAACTTTAAACTTCAATGGATATGATTCCTTGAAATTCAACAGCTCAAACACACAGCCATCTCCAATCCTAAGGTTGTTGTCAACCACAAACTTTTCCCATCCATTTTCAAGTTGTTTCTTGTGGTCATAGATACAGCATTTAACAACCCATTCGTTGCTGCGGCAATAGAGGACCACCAATGCAGAGTATGAAGGAAGAAATTGATGGAAACTACGTGGAAATTTCTAGCAAAGGAAAAAAGCAGCTTTCTCATTGTTAGTAAATGTATCTACATGTATAGCATAGCAGCTCGATATAACTATCTACCATTTTACAATGATCATTGAAGTTCAAGCGATTCATCCTAGCAAATTGTTTGATCATGGAATGATTGATTAGCAGATCAACCTTTTCAGAGAATCGATTAACAAGTTCAAAAACTTCATAAACCATATTAACGGCACAGCTAAATTTAAGAAAAACCTTCTGTTAGATTTCTTTGCTATTCTAAACCCTAAACAAATCAAAGCAATAAAACTACTAGAGAAAAAGAGGAAAACAAATTAAATATAATAATAATAAAAATAAATAAATAAAAATACTAGAGAAAAAGAGGATTCATGACGCTTGCCTGAATGGCTTTATGAAGCAAGAGAAATCAAAGCACTTAAGGGAAGTATTGACACAGTTAGCTTCAAGTTTGTGCCCAACAAGAAGAGACAACAAGAAGAAACATTAAACGATCAAGGGTACTGATATAGTTCCCCCCGCCCCCCAACCAAATCCTAAACCCAATGAAATGGGAAACCAATTGATAAATATGAAGGTTATTTTATGATAATGAGTAGAATTATTTATTTCTTGAGTTTGTTAGTTGGAAATAGCAACTTTCATTACGGGTGTGCTTTTTTTAATAAGTGATGAAAAAAATGGCATGTAGCATGAAGAAATTATGTGCACAAAGAAAAAAAAAAAGGGGTCAATCAGAAGCATTAAAAAGAAAGAAGCGACAGCATGGATATTAATATTCATGGCGACAAATGTTTTAATGGTCATAAGCCAGGTTATAATTAGAGGGGCATAGGATTCAATAAGAATTCAATTAGGCGACTAAGCAAATGAGAGGAAACATCATATATGTTTACTTGTAGTGAAGATCTGTCAGGATTCTGCTTGTGTGATATAGATTCAACAACTTCCTTTCAAGTGAAGTGATGAAAAGTGATGAAGGATGCAGAACCATAATGTGGGTGAAGTACCATATAAACTGAGCCATAGGAAACTACCCAGGTTATAAAAGGAGTTGAATCAAACTAGCGAGTTCAGACAGCTGAACTGACCGAAGTTAAAGACAACAAATAAACCAAATCAAATCAGAAGAAAGACTTCATAATAATAGAGAATATGTTCCAAGAGACCATCATAAATATGATAAAAAGGAAAACTAAGTACAAACACCTAGAAAACTACTGAAGTAAGATGAACATTCGGATTGTAAATTTATTAGTGTCAAGGCAAATATATTGCATTTTTTACGAGTATAGACTTTCAAACTTGCATCAAATTTGCTAACTTTGAATAAATTTGGTACCCATGAATCTATCATTTGATATTCATTAAGTAAATTTGGGCATAACTGTTTGTTTCTTATTTAGTAATCTACTAATCTATGAATAGCCCGCAACAAATCTTTGTTATCCACTATCACAAGTGCACAATTTTAGATACACAATTTCGAAAACAGTTGTATTGTCGCAGCCTTTACAATTCCTCATTGACTCTAATGAGAAACTTCATCATTTGGAATCTCTAACTCCAAAACCAATGAACAGAAGAAAATGTACAAAGTGGCGAGCCTCTGACAATGCAGCTCTCACAAGGATGCTCAATAATATTGAACTTGAGAAAGTTTCCATATTTAAGTTTCTGGTGATTGCCAAAAGAATGTGAGACCTTTCTTCATTCCACTTATTTTCAAGATAGTAGCTTCGGGATACACTATTTACCCTGACATCTTCTGTTTATAACACGATGACAAATTCAATATTACTATAGAACTTTGAAGGCCAGTGGGATGAAAATTTTCAATATCAACCATATATCACTATTCTCACTACATGGAAAAAACAAAATCAGTAGTTTTATGTTGTCAAAATATTTTTTGGGTTCCCATCCATCATACCAATCTGTTTAGGCCTAGTTAATGGTCGACTGCACGATCAACAATATATTTACAAATCTCACATGTACTTGTGGGCTCCAAAAATTTGTGTCCGGACTCTCTGCAGCCTCTTTCTTCTTTTCGGGTCATCGAGGAGAGTTTTAATGAGTATGTTTCAAGGCAATTTTTTGGAAGACAGATTGAGTATAAATAAGACACTAACCAAAGCTTTCGCCCTCATTTTATGAGGACTTTATGATCTAAGTTCAGGTTTCCTATATGTACAAGTCCTTATAGTTAATTAACCCTCTCGATAGCGAGAGAGAACTTTCGATTAAGGCTAGTTGTCAAACAGATACAGAGTATCTGACATATAGTAGAAGCATGTTTAGGTATTTGAAAATTTAATATTTAAAATTAAAATTTTACCATTTTGCACTTAAGTAGATGGTGGAGAGAATGATAATAGACCTGATCAATATCCCATGGTTATGTTGTCCCGTGTCATCATGGTCCATAGTCTACTTAGTCAGAGGAGGTAATCGACCCAACCTTGTCAGCAGCCATTGATTGTTTTGTCCAAAGGTACCTTGTAGACATGGGGGAAGATTTTTCTAAGGGGATAAATTTGAATTCACCTTAGCTAATAGAGGATTTTGTGCTCTATCGATCATATCCTATTGATCCATTGTTCAATGATTTAACGCTTTTAGGGAACATACATGCTCTGACCATGATCGTAATTTAATGGTGACATTTGGAAGCAAAACCACCTGGTTAGAGGGCTCCGGTCATAACTGTTTACATGTGGTGCCATTCATTGGTGTGGTGCAATTTGACAGCGAAACCACCGGCTAGAGGATACGTGCCAAGTCCTTATTGACAAGGGAGAGATGGAAAATGAATCATAATAATATTCTCGATTAGACATTCGCTTTTTGTGAGCTGAAGTGATTTTCAAATTTGTCCACCTTAGCAAACTAGTGCCAAGGTTGGATGAATTTACCTTTAAGTTTTTTGGTAATTTATTTTGACTTTAAACATTTATATCATTGAACGTATTTTATGAGAATTTGAGGCGTTTTTAATATTTGGGGTCCCCTTTGGTTGAGTTTTTTTGTCAATACAACCATCATCAGAGTTTTTATGGGTTATTTTATTTTTTGTTGATTGAACTTTGTCGACCATGTCTACTTGACGGCAGAGGATCGGGTTTGAATCTAAACTCATTTTTTAATCCGCACAACATCCTCAGACGTAACGTGTGTACCTATGAAAAGCCCTTCGGGGTCCATACAAGTATGTGCCATTATGTGTATTTTGCATGATGCATTTATGTGACTGCTATATGTATGCAGTGGATGTATGCGATGTCTCTGCATGTATCATATATATTGGCCTATGTATTTTGCATTTTTACACTATGTAGTTGCAGTGTGTGGTATTTTTAAATATAGATGAAATATTGTATAATGTTACTTGAATGAAACCCTCTGCATCCTGCAAATACATGCAAGAGGACATTCAATTGCGCATGTGTAGGCTTTGAAAATTTCGCGCCTCGGCATCTCCGTATTAGCTCTTTCTTTTTATTTACGTGGGCGAGGATAGTTTAACGAGTTTAGATTCCATGGTAATTTTTCATAAGTCGGATTGGGTTTGTAGATAATAAACTACCTAGAGATTTTGCCTTCATTTTGCAAGGACTTTATAATGTGAGTTCTGGTTTCCTATAGACGCAAGCCTCTATAGTTAATTACCCCTCTGGATAACAAGAAATAACTTTCAATTAAGGCTAGTCATAAAATAGGTTGCAATCATAACGTATAATAACAACAGTTTTAGAGTTTGAATTTTAAAGTTTATCACCATAAACTTATAACATGTGATGGGGGGAGCGCAGACAAGCCCGATTAAGATCACATGGTTTCGTCGTCCCGGGCTGTCATGGTCCATGGTTTACTTAGTCAGAATAGGTAGTCGACCCAACGTGACAAAATGCATCTTATTGGCAGCCATGGGTTGCTTCGTCCAAAAATACCTTGTAGACTTAGGGTGGTGTTTGTTTAAATGGATAGATCTGAATTCACTTTAGCTGACGGAGGGCTTTATGCCTATCGAATATACCATATGCTTCATTACCCAAGGGTTTAACGCTTTTAGGGAACATGTGGACTTTGACAGTGATTGCAAT